CTCATCTCAATGGTGTGGCAGGATGATTTTGGCTGCCGGCTCTAGGCTCGGGTGAGTTTCACCGCAGCTGTTTCAGAGCAAGAAGTGACACCAGTAGGAGCCCACGGGTCCCACTGGTCAGGCTTTGCCAGTCGCCTCCCAGTACAAGTCAGAGCCTAGGGGATGTGAGCAGGTCCTGGATCAGTGCAGCGCGCCAACTGGGATGGGGGTTGCCAAAAGCCATGTCCCGGAGCCACGAGGGTAGTGGCTCAGAAGTGCTAGGAGGTGTTTATGAGAAGAGCTGGGCGCTGCGTGGCTGTAAGTCCATGGGGGTGCAGCTTGCCCCTGGCCTGGGCAAAGTCCAGGGGGGTGAAAGGAGAGGGCTGGAGGCACATCCCGAAGTGCAGGTGGGTGCTGCTCCCTTTACCTGAACGGGCTCCCAAGATTCTCCAGCTCATCACATGGGGAGGGTCCCTCTGCTATACAGGACCCTTGTGTACTAGGGACCCCAAGGGCCGAATCCCAGGGCCACCAATCACCTGGCAGTGCCTGCATGTCAGGGGAGAGGCTCCTCTGGGAAAAACCCCAGGCCCTTTATATGAATCCCCTCCTTGCCACCTCCACCAGCCCAGGTACCTGCCGCCCAGTCTGATCCCTGCTCCCTGGCACTGGGGTGAGCCCAGTCTGGGTCCCTCCCTATCACCTGCCTCAGACCTGCCTCAATGATCTTCACCTGAGCCCAGCCTGGAGGGCGCACAGCTTGTCTGGCATGGGTGGGCTTCCTTCCTCCAGCGTGACCTTTGCGTGGATTTGCAGGGAAGGGGACACCTTTGACCTCCCCCGTCTCAGGCACTAACAGGAGCATCTCCTAGCTGCTGCTAAAGTGAATTCTCTCTCCCCGACCCCACCAGCTGCAGAAAGGCAGAGACAGAGAAACGGGACAGCTGTTGGACAGCAAACCACAGCCCCAGCTTGGAGCAAGATCCCGGCAGCGAAGCAGCCTCTGGATGGACTCATGGCCACGGTACTGGGGCGGCGGCGAAGGGAAGTCAACCGCAAATTGTCCTCGAGTTTAAAATGAACGGGTCCAGTGAGAAGCAACTGGCCGGCAGCGTGAAGGCACATAAATCTGTTGGATCCCCAGGCGAGGCCGGGGGGTTGAACTGGTTGCGATGGGTTTGACCCCAGGTCTGACAATGGGGGTGGGGGTCTTGCTGGATGAAAAGGCTCCCAGCTGCTGCTGGGGGGGGGAGGGGCAAAGAGGTGCTGGGGCAACAAGGCTGAGCAGGTAGCGCCCTTCCAGCAGGATTTTTCACGGGCTTGGGGCTCTTTAGACTTGCCTGGGTGTCTCCCAGAGAGCAAGTCTTCTCCCAGGATCTCAGCCCCGGGAGAAGGACACGGCTCCAGACCACCACCAAGTCAAGCCAGGACCTCCCTGATGACCGAGGGGTTACGGGCAGGGTTAGAAATTAGTCCCTGAGCTAAGCAGAGGCCCATGGCTACACGGAGGTGGGAGCGGGGCAGGCACTGCTCCCCCACCCTTCGCAGCATGTATGCTCCCAGCAGGCCCTTGTGCCGCGCAGCAGCTCCGCACCCAGCTGGGGCTCACCTAGCCTCCATCCAACACGTGAAAATCTGGCTCCTGGGCTCTGACGAGCCTGGAGGGTGGGCACAAAGTTTCACATGTGCGCGGTCCGTCGCCCCATTGTGGCTCATCTCCCCTGTCCGCGCCCAAGACCAAAGAGCTCAGGGCCGGCTAGTGCAGCGCCTGGCCCCTGCAATCAACGCGAGCTCGTAAGATGCGACCCTGAAAGACGGGGGAGATTTTTCAAGAGGTCCCAGCACAGATTCCCCACGTTCAGATCCCGACATGGTTGCTGTGCCCTTCAGCCCTTAAAATCCAGCACCTGCCTGGGAAACCTCCTCTCCCTTTGTGCTGCAGCTTCCCTGGTGGAAAAAAACCACCTGATTGCAATTCACTGAGTCATTCATCCGGTTCCCCTGAGTTATCTGCTCCGCTTCTTTCCCTGCCCAAAAATTCACCCACCCGCCGCCCCGGCAGACTGCTTCAGGCGCGAGTGTGGGGGCCGGTGGCCGAACACACTGAGAACGTGGCGAAGCGGGGGGGGAACGCGCGTCTATGCTGTGAGCTCGGATGAAGACAGCTGGCATGCCGGAGCACACGCCTCCAGGAAAACAAGGCAACTTTCTCGCCCGGCTTTGCATCGAGATCCCCGCCCCGTTCCAAAGTCCGGTCCACCCGGTTTTTTGCCAGTAGGGCAACGCTGGCGACCAGCGGTGTCATTTCCACTGATATAATTCTCCTGGTACAACCGGACCTGCTCGGAGCCTCTTTGCAACGACGCCGGGTAAGAGCAGCAGCCACTGTCGTGGTGGCCACCGGTGGGACGAGGCCATCGGTGCCCGCGCCCCGACTAAACCGCAGCCGCACCCGGGCGGTGGGGGGTTATTCTGCAATCCCCATCCTGGCAGGCGCAGAGCAGCTCGAGGCCTGGGGGATCCCACCGCTGATCCCACCTGCTTTTGGATCAGATTCTCTGACTCTGGGCAGCACAGCAGGGGAGTCTGGAAAGAGCCTGCGGATCAAACAGCAAAGCACCAAACCCAGCAGGAAAACACACGAGGAAAAAAAATCCAGCTTCCCCTCTACGACTGACCCCTTGTACCATGAGCTGCTGGCTCTGGGCTTGCCACTGGTGGCCAAGCCGGGGTGGTTCGGGCTCCGACATATCACTGGCTTGGCCCTTGGGCAGATGCCCGGCCCTGTGTTAGACTCACGCCTGCTCCCTATTGCAGTAAACACCCTACCTAGGACCAAGCATCACGCTGTTTGCTGCCAAGTGCTACCAGGCAGGGAGATTTCTGACCCGTCCCAGCTCAGGGAAAAAGCCCCGTGTACGACAGGGCTTAGGGCCCGATCCTGAATTCGACTCCCAGCTAGGGACGCATCAGGCTCTGTTCCAGCCTGCTTCAACCAGCCTCCCCCCTCCGATTGTCTCCAAAATGGCGCTTCTTCTCTAGAGGAACCTTGTTTTTCTCCTTTGGGAGCCTTCCTGCGCCGGGCTCGTTAAAGGCTGCTCCCTGGATCTAATTACAGGGAAAGCGCTGCACTCCAGGCGCATCCGAGCACAAGTTGCCCCTCGGCTAATTTTCTCCACTGAGAAATTAAGTGACTGCGCGAAAATACAAGTGGGCAACGCGACAGGCCAGCAGGTCCCCCAGGGCAAGGGCAGGAGCAGCTCTCACACTGGCAAACAGGGTGCCGGCGTCGTCGTAAATCTGCCCCCCAGCCCCTTTGGAGCTTTGGGGGGGGGGGGGGGGG